TAAAAAAATAAAATCAATCAATAAAGGAAAAAAAAATTCTCTCCAATTGCATATGAAGTGGATGTATACAGACCGACATTTTTTTCTAGGAGAGAAGATCCAAGGTTTTCTTCAAATAGTCAAAGCATATCATGACTCCAAAAGGAGTAAGGATTACTGACCCACGAAGTCCCTTTTCAACCTTACATGTGGAAGGTGCTCTGGTGTGGTAGTGCATAGGTTAGCAGCTATGCTGCGAATCCAAAGTGCCTCTGATGGTTCAATCCACCAGTGGCTCTGTGGTAGAAAGATGGGCAATCTCCTCCGGTAAGATTTACAGACCCTTGAAACCCATACTGGAAGGCCTCCTGTGTCGGTTCCAATTCAATAGTAATGAGTTTGAGTTTTGATCCATGAAATCCCTTTATAATATAATATGTATGGAAAAGTTAGCTTTACGATAGGTACTCTTAAAGGAAACTAGAGTTCAAGGTAAGGAGGGCAGGACAACGAACTTCTCAAATGCTACTAGACAGTGATATATAAAGCACAATACATCATAATAGAAAAAAATTGGGTCCTTACAATTGCTATCTAAAATATGCTCTATAAGACAGAGTTATATTAACCCAAAGTGTACACCCTGGTGGTCTGAACCCACCACCAGCTCTGCAGCAGAAATATGGACAGCTACAATTCACAGCCTACTGGGGGAGCATGATGAGTCAGAATTGACTCGCTGCCAGTGAGTCTGAACCAGACACCAAGTAAAATACTTCCCATCTTGTGTAGAACTAGGCCACAGCTGACATACACAATATGGTTCCCTTGTTTTCAGAGTTACAGACTTAAAACATTTTTTAAAAGGGTCCAAACATTAATTATATATAAAGTATTTATTTTTATGCACATCTTTACCTACAAAATATAAAAAAAATAAAGCAATGCTCAATGTTTATAATCCCCTCTTAAGAATTCTTAGGAGCAGATGGTTTATTGCTGCAATTAAAGAATAAAATATTATACATGTGAAAGCCAAGATGGGGTACATTTTATGTCAAATGACAGCCTTCTTAACAAGCTTTTGTCTTGTTATTTAATTTTCAGCTTTATGTTAAATGAAATTGAAAAGATTGCTCATGAAGTTATTTAAACTTTTCAAAATCTTCTCATAAACAAGTAAAAAGGCACCTCTTGTACTTTAAAATATTTACAGCAATCCCAACAGATTAATTTTAAGGGCTATTAAAGTAAATGCGGCTACTGTGCATACATAGTATGTCATTAACACTCTCCAAACGGTGAGAATTGTCAACTCTAGTTGGTGGCACTGCTCCCACGGTATCCCGGTGACGGAGGACAATCAGTTAAACGCGTGCAATACCAGCATGTCCACCACAGCATAAAATCCAATCGTCTAAAACAACGTTAACTATCAAATTCCCAGATAATACATCGTTTATAACCGAGTTTGCATATTCAGAAGTCTTTGGAGGGTTCTTAAAATTATTTTTAAAATATTAACTATATTAACATTAAATGAAAACAAAGAACTAAAGAATATAACCACAGTAGTGGCTGGAATTCAGTTATCTGATTTAACAAAAATTGGTTCTCAAAACATCTGTAATTTCTCAAAACATAATGGAGTTTTTCTCAGTCGAAACACAATGCAATGGTTTTCCCCGCAGTCTGATTAAAAGGAGTACAAGGATGAAAGGCGCAGCTTCCTACAACAGCTGTTATAAAAAGCTGTGGGGGTGGCCAGCAGATGTTCCTGAAATACTGGTGCAGGAGAACAAAGTCCACACAAAGTTTTCCTCTTTGTTTAAAATTGGCATTGATTTGCTATTTACAGTAGTTTGAAAAAAAGAAAATTATAAAAACTGAATGAGGTTTTGTTTCTAAGTTTAACTTAGTAACATACATACATACTTCTTCTGCAAATCTGCACAATCTGAAGTACTAAAGTGACACTAATACTGAAACACAGGTAATCAAAACTACCAAAAGCAGTGATAACGTGAAGTCACCATCATCAAGGTCCTCTGGGTAAATATTGCACTCTTCTTGGGAGTTGTTGCTATGATCTTCACACGAATTCTTTATGGCTTTTTGCTGTATCACTCACTTGATGCAAGGTTGTTTTAAGTCCCATTAATAGTGTAGATTATCACTGAACATGAGGTCTAGGTTTCAAGATCAGTTTTCCTGTCTGTAAAAATGAAGTCAGTTATGTTAAAAACGTCACCATTTATCTATACATCATAAAAGATATTCACAGGGCATCAGAACACTTCTATTTAGTCATGATAACACTTCTTTTTTGTGACACTTCCTTCTGAAACTTTTATTACTTTAAAAACTATTTATCTTAACAGCAAAAACACAAACAAGCCAATCACAAAATGAGGAAGTGACTGAAAAGAATCTTTATGAGAAGATATCCACGTACTCAATATGTGAAAAGATGTGCATGATAACTAGCCATCTGGTTTGCAAATCTTACCCTAGCTAAACTAACACAATTTTGTTAAAAAAACAAACAAAATCCCAGATAACAATAACTGTCAGGAAGAATGTGAAGAAATTGGAATCCTAATCTACTGTTGGTGAGAGTATACAATGGTACATACACTATTGAAAAAAAGCTATGGCACTTTCTTAAAAAACTAGAACTATCTTAGAATTCCTACTCCTAGGTAGCCTAGTTGTTACATATCATAGAGTCAGAACTGACTCATAGCTGACCCTCCAGTAAGTTTTCAGAGGCAGTAAATCACATGGCAGGAGACTGCCCATCTTTTCTGGAGTATGTACAAAGGCATTTGATTATGTGGATCATAACAAACTATATAGATAGCATTGAGAATAATGGGAATCCCAGAACTACAATTAATTGGGTTCATACAAAATCTAGCTAGACCAAGCTGTTGCCTGAATGGATCAAAGGATCACTGCATGGTTTAAAATGAGGAAGGGTGTGTATCAGGGTTCTATCTTTTCTCTGTATCAGTCCAATCTGTATGCTGAGCAAACAATTTGTGAAGTCAGACTCTATTAAAAGGATAGGAGGAAGACTCATCAACTTGTATTATGCAGATGACACAACCTTGCTTGCTCAAAGTCAGAAACGTCTGCTACAGATGACCAAAAACTACAGCCTTCAATATGGATTATACCTCATCACTAAGAAAACAAAGGTCCTCACCAACCTAGCCAAGAGGCTACATCAAGATAGATGGAGAAAGGATTGAAACTGTCAATGATGTCATCTTACTTGGAACCACAATCACACCCTTTGTATCAGCAGTCAGGAGATCAGGAGGTCTTCCGCAAGTCTGCTATCAGGGACTTCTCCAAAATACTGAAGAGCAATGATGTCAGTTTCAAGCCGAAGGTGTACCTGACTGAGGCTATGGTCTTTTCAATCACTTGCTATGTATCTAAGAGAGCTGGGCAATGAATAAGGATGACAGAATAATTGATGCCTTTGAGTTGTTGTGTTAGAGAAAAGTACTGAATACCTCACAGACTGCCAAAGAACAAACAGATGTGTCTTTGAAAGTGAAGCACAGAGCTCCCAGGAGGCAAGGATGGTAAAGCTTCATCTTTCATACTTTATATTGCTGGGAGGGCTATTGTGCTTGGAAGGTGGAGGGTCAGTGAAAGAGAGGAAGATCCCTGATGAGAAGGGTTGACAGGGTGACTACAGTAATGGGCTCAAGCATATCAGAGATAATGAGGATGGCATGGAATAGGGTAGGATTCCAGGCTGTTGTTCATAAGGTTGCTATGACTCGTCCTTGACCTGACAGCACCTAACAAGGTAACCTAGACATAAAAAATCAAGACACAGACATGCATAGGCATGCTCATGACTGTTTGTAAAACAGTACAGTGGTTTTGGGGTGGCAGTGTGTCACCTCCACTTCACAAGGGGTTAGCATCCCCATCAACAGCATAAAGCTGACTTTAGCGAGTGCAGACACAGGCCCCATTCTGTTGATAGTTGGTATTAGAAATGGGGTTCACTGCAATGGCTCCAGACTCATGAAAGCATGGAAAGTGAAACTGTTACTTTAGTTGCTGTTACCTACATTGAGAATTCTGCTTCAACTGAGTGAAGACAAGCTGTTTCTCAGTGGTCTGAGGCAAAAGCCAGGTCAATCAAGAAGGTGACTAACAGAGGGCCAGGGTCCTCATTCTCCCAGCCACAAGCACACATGAATGGGAGGAGAGTTGAGGGGTGGAGAAGTGAAGGTGAAAGCGGAACATTTAAGGGCTGTATGTTCCAGCTTCCTTCACTGTTCTACCACTACTCCTCCTCCTTACTGGCACTGTGCTGGAATTACCTTATATGGCTTTCTTGGTTTTCATCTTTACCAAAGCAACTTGCTAGATCTTTCGTCCATAAAGCCACTAGGTAGGCTTGAAGTATCAAACTTTGGTTAGCAGCTAAGTGTTCTGCAATCTGTACCAACAGGACTCCTTGGCATATGTTTAATGCTCAATAAATGACAGTTATTTTTTAGTTCTACTGTTGAGTAAAAGATAGAGGCTTAAAAACCTGGAACAATCTACTTTTATAAAAACACTGATGAAGACATACAAAATATGGTGATTATTATAGGGTGGTTGGTGAGATTTAAGTGGCTTTATTTTTATCCTTCAATTACCTTTCTTGATTCGCAATTTCACTTTTTTGTAATTCCTCAATATTTTGGCAGATCTTTTTCACGTTAAAAATTTTTTTCTTGTGTTTTTCCACTTTTTAAGATTTTTTAATTACTTAATCAAAGGTGTATTGAACACTTTTTTTAAGATACCTGTTATTTTCTACTGTTAACTATGAGTAATATAGTAAACATTGTAAAGTAAAATCTGTAATTTCCTGAGTTCTGACAAATGTACCTGCATTAAACAGTAATAAACAAGTTTTTATGTGTCTCTTTTTCAGTCCATGTTATTCATCTTTTTACATAGATCACTTTTCTGACTTAACTATAGATTAATTTTGCTTGTCTTTGTTCTTTAAATAAATGGAAAAAAGATATTGTTGTAGGTGGAGGGGGAGAGGTTTCTTTCATGCAACACTTAGATTTATCCAAGTTACTACAGAAGTTCGTGTATTTTTATACCAGTAATATGCTACTTTATGAATATATAACTATTTCTTATTCAAGGTTTTAATCAATTTTAAGTGTATGGTTTATTATCTGAGAGAGACATTAATGAAACTTCATTATAAAACTTGAAATAACTTTAGATAAGTGAGTCATACATCTATGTCAAATTCTAATCTACTCTCCAGAAACCAGTTTTAGCACAAGTTCTTCCAGATAATTTACACTTATGACTATGTATGTAAATATTAGTAATTTGCTGTCTAATATGCTGAAATATTTGTAAGTTAAATGGATCAATTTGGATTTATTTAAAAATAGTCAGATGGAAAGGAAAGGAGGACAAGGTATAGATGAAAAAGAATGGCTATTCGTTATTGTTGATGTTCTTGTTATGTTTAGTGGATTGAAAAAATGCAGTCTTGAGAGAATCAATCATGATGGAGAGATCAAAAGGCCTGTTGCACTGGGGAAATGTGCTGTTAAGGAATTTGTGTGCTTGATCCATGTAATGGTATTTCAACTACTTCCTATGCATTTAAAACTTGGACAATGAATGAAGAAGACTGAAGAGGGATTGATGCCTTTGCATGGTGGCAGTTGACTCAATGGCACCTAACAACAAACAACACTGAAGTGCTTGAAAATGTTCATACTCAAAATTGTTTCTTAGAAAATGGTATCAAACTGAGCATATTGCTTGGTATCTTGGTTATTTTTACCCCGTATCATGCCATGGAGATCTTTCCACGTCCACATTTTAGGTCGAGTGGTGAGACATTATGTCTATGGCAAGACACTACCACAGCTGATTTTACCACTCTTCTACTGAGAAACATCGGCAGCTTGGGTGGCTTAGTAGTGGGCTGCACTGCCAACCCAAAGGCATGCAGTTCAAATCCACCAGTTACAGGAGAAACATGGGCAATATCCTCACATACGATCTATTATCTCTGAAAATCCAGTGGAGGGTCAACTCTGAGTTAGTTCTGATTCAATGGTATACAACAAGTGAGAAACAAAGATTATTTCCATTTTTCACTATTGCAAATGGTGCACTTATCTCCTGGGTACATATGATTGTTTCCCCTAGGGTAAATGTAGAAGAGTAAAATGGTTGATTCCAGTACATTTTACCTTTTAAGAGACTGAAAATGACTGTACCAATTTATATTCCCAATAACTTGTGGATAATGAGTTGTGCTGTAAACCCAAAGGCAGTGGTTTGAATCTACCAACTGCTCCATGGAAGAAAGAGGGACATCTCCTCCCACATGATTTACGCCGGTGAAAACCCACTGCAGGGTCGACTGTGAGTTGGTTCCAACTTGGTGGCACGTAATTACAACAATATACACTTACGAGGATTTCTGGGCCATATAATTCTATATTTACCCATTTAATGAACTGCTGAACTGTTTTCCAATGCAGCTGCACTATTTTACATTCCCATTATCAATTTACAGTTCTCATTTTTCTATACCCCTGACATGTTATTTTCTTACTTTTTGATCTGAGCTACGGTAATGGATGTGAAACGGTACCACCTGTGGTTTTTGAATTTTATTTCCTTGATGATGTTCACCTTTTTCTTACTGATTTTAATACATCCTTAAGACTTTTGGATACGATCTTCATATTTATATATATTTATATGTATATATATTTTTTCATATACATACTTACTTTTAATCACTAATTTCTAGTGTTCTGCTACACAGTTTTAAATTTTAGTATAATCACAATGTGTCCTTATTCAATTATGGCATTTCTGGTTTTCGTTTTCAAAAGCATTTTTCTATTGCAAACTCTTTTTAAAACTTATCTGGAATTAGTTTTTATAGATGTGAGGTAGATAATTAAATTTACTATATCAACACTACTAGTGACTTGAAATGATATTTTTAGCTTCTACAAATTAAAAAACATTCCAAACCAAAACAAAACCTCTACTATTAAGACTCAATCTCCCAGTGAGACAGCTGTTTCTCTGCCCTAATCTTCTCCTTTATGCTGTACACACTAATTTTCTGTAATGAATAAGTATTACTTGTTTAACAGTTCTTTAAGTGAAGTAAAAATATTTTTGTGAACAAATAAAAAATAGAAGCTACCAATAAAACTCTATTCAAAATACATTAGTACATGAGCTACTTCTAAAACAGAGTAATTATATTTCTGCCTTTCTTAATCAATTTTGTATTTTACCTATCAAATACAAAAATGCAACTTGATAGAGTAAAACCAATATCCATGGAGCAATTTTTTGACCAATAGTATTCCCTGTATTACATTCAATCTGAGAAGTTTAAGATTAATATTTTATAAATTAAAATATTAAGAGTTTACATTTTATAAGACAAAATTGGCTATTCGATACCTTAATTTCAGAAATGAAAATGAAAAAGAAAAGTGTTTTCTATCAGTGCTATAAGGTATAACTATTAATTACATAATGTTTTTCTAAGGCAAAATATTTCAATACTTTTATAAATATAATTTTTTAACATAACGAATACTTACATCATCACAAGACATATTGTATTCTGCTAATACAGTTCGACATCGAGCAGCTATACTGAATGAATGTAGTTAAAGGAAAACTTGTTATTTCAAGAATAAGTTTTAAACAATCATCTATGTCATCTAAAAGATGCTTTAATCTAGTTCAGAGAATAAAACTCCATCAGTGGTAAAGGATACATAGATGGTGCAACTACTCTTTTATGTATTCCAGCAAAAAACAGACCTATCAGAGTAATACAGCTAATGGTGAAAAAAGGATGATTCCACAGAGAAGTGAAAAAAGACACCTGGAAAAGAAGAGTCAAAATATAACAAAGTTCAAAAATCTTAGAGCAATATGATTCCTACATCTTCACTTCTCTATAACTATAACCTTCTGATGTGTCAACTATGAGGATTTGAAGACTGCCAAGAATTCTAGTTCTGTTACTATGCTTAAAAATAACATATGCTTTATATCTTCTATAAAGTAATACGTCATTATTCCATTTATTGCAAACACTAGAACAATTATAAATCTAGTCTTATATTTAAAAAACCTTTTATTCGATAAAAATACTTACTGGCCAATCTTACTGGTCCCTCGGAGGCTAGTGGAACCCCTGAGGCTATGCACCTTTAGTGCCCTTCAAATCTGGAGCAAAACTTATCCCTACAGGTCAAATTTCAGTAAAAAAAATAGACAGGCCTATAAGGTGAACAATAATATTAGAGTGGCACTCACTTCTTAGAGTGACCAACCTATAAGTTCAAAGAAGGGTAGGATTTGCCCAGAAATAAAGCCCGGTCACAGATGGTTTAGATAGCCAGGTTTTAGATGGTCACAGAAATAGGCTATTTAAGCAGGGAGAGGAAAAACAAATAGTAACTATAGACAAGAAACTAAGAATTCAAGAGACAGACAAGGGGATAGTATTAGAATTGAGTGCAAACAGACAATACCAGAAATAATGAAAAACATGACAATATATGGTATGTATGAAATGTAGAGACCAGAGTCCATAGTCCAGGATTAAAACAGAAGGAAGCACTAAAGTAAAACTAGAGAAAAACAAGACTGTTTAATGAAACAAACATGACAAACTGGTTTTATCTTTTTTGTTTCCAAAAGAATCAAACTAAATGTATTTCCCTTCATATACCAAGAGACTATGTAATTATTTTTAGACAAAGAATTAAGTATATGAAAATATCACAATACAGGCTGGCATGGTACTGGTTCAATAAATCTATCAAATGAAGAAGTGAGTGGCTGAAAATATAAGAGAAAATCTCAGAAGGATGGTATCTAGAATATCCCAATATTCCAGAGGAACTTCTTCTTAAATTCTGAGATCAGTTAAACTGCCACTAACCAGCTATATTTTGTTTAGCTTGTACAATGATAGCAAACAGGGTTTTAACAAGATCAGTCATTTTCTGCTTTGAACCAGCATATTCCAATTCAGTCATGGCCAATGGAGCAAAATCTGAACCGCTGTACATTTTTAAAAGTTAGGTGCTTAGAGGTTGATGACCTTTATAAAACAAGGGTAGCATATAACCAAAATCTCTTGACCCACAGATGCAGAAACAATAATGTCCAGTTCAAAGACGGTGGTGAGCACGCCGCCGCCAGCCAGGGGAACGCCGCTAGAGGGACCCGAAAGAGACCCGGGAAGTGCAGCCAGGGGAACGCACGCCTCCGCCCGCCAGACCGGGGAACGCCGCCGCCAGACCGGGAACGCTGCCAGCCGGGGAACGCACCCCGCCGTCAGCCGGTGGGAATGCACGCCA